ATGGTCCTGCTTGACTGCCATTACTAATATCACTGATATTATTGTTATTATTATTTTTACTATTATTACTATTGTCACTGCTCATTGTCCCCCATTGTTGTTGTCGTCGTCATCATCTTCTTCATGTTCATCATCATCACCAATTCACAGTAATTTCACCCACTGCTTCACGAAGTGCCAGTAAGCTAGCCTCGGCTCCGGTGTCGGCAATGGTGCTAGCTCCTGCGTGGGCTTCGCCAACCTGTTGGTTCAACATCATCGGGAGCTTGATTTGTCTTACGTGGCATGCTGTCGGATTGTCTCAAAAAGTAACTGTCAGTGTTCATGTTAGGCTAATGAATCATTAAGAGGTTGGAGTGCTATTTTTGTAGGCTTAAATGAATAAATTAGCTAATTCGCGCACCAGCTCTCCCGAACGTGACCCTCTCTGGCACTATAGGCAGGCAATAACTATTTTACTATATTTACGTTTATCTTTAGCCAGCTGTAAATCATTTTATAAGGAGTACGGTCTCGACCTGAGACAACTTTAGTTACGAATTGTCGTTATACAAATGAAATTTAATTGAATTGAACTGAATATTTGGGACAGGTATTCCTTTAGCACAAACTCGAATCACAGGTCGTACTTTTTTCTCTGACACTTGAACACAAACATTGTTTTTACAGGCAGCCGAAGATTTACGGCACCCAGCATACAGACAGTAAACAATATTCACAAGTCGGATTAATTTGAATGAAAACCTTTTTATTCTTTTGGTCCGTGGACTCGTACTGAAATAGGAATATGAATAATAGGGTTACGGTTAGGGTTAGGGTCAATGGAGACCACCAGGCTAGTAAAGGAGATCTGCTTCTAACTGGGACTCTACTTTTATTAAATGTTTTACAAACTTTTACCACCTCTCCTGGATAATAAAATAAAGTTTTCATGAGAAACAATAAAGCTGCTGGAGGTTCAATCTTCCCCTTCAGAATAAAATGTCTTTCAGTTCATACTGTTATCATAGTAAGAACTTAGGGCCCCCTGTTGTCTAGCACAGTTGTTGTTGATGAAAGGCTTCACATGCTCATTGTTAACCCTTTCAAAGAGGCTTTGTGTGTGTGTGTGCTGACTCAGCGCTCCACAGCACAAAGCAGTGAGTGATGCTTAGGTGTATAAAAGCTGTGAGCTCACACAGGTATGAAGGCAGTTCACCTCCCTCCATCAGCACAGACCAACAACATGTCCGCCACCGACATGAACATGATGAGCAGGGTAAGTCCCAGCATGCATTACTGCTCCCAAACCAGAACTGGATTACACATAGTTCTGAGTTCATGTCATATAATCAATAACAGATTTTCATAATTTGTTCAATTATTACAAAACATTGCAGATACAAATCTTCATTAAATTTACATGAAAATATATTTTTTGTTAAAAAAAATTCTTAAACCAAAACCATACATTTTATCCAAACAGCTTCAGTCTGAAAAACATCCAAATATTTATAAATCATCAACCTTAGCTAGCTAATCTACATTAATCATTAACTTGTGAGTTACACCTGATAGCTAATGCTAGCAAAACGTTAGCTAATTACCTAAGGCTTTTATTGTGAAGCATTTGTGCATTTCCTGTCACTGCACAGTGGCAGCAGATCACTGATAACGGCTCAGATCATCCAGAATGTCATAACTCGATCTCAACCTGTCCTCTGTCCTCAGATTGTCTTCTACGAGGACAGGAACTTCCAGGGTCGGTCCTATGAGTGCAGCAGCGACTGTGCCGACATGTCATCCTACCTGAGCAGGTGTCACTCCTGCAGGGTGGAGAGAGGCTGCTTCATGGTCTATGACCGCACCAACTTCATGGGCAACCAGTACTTCATGAGGAGGGGCGAGTATGCTGACTACATGAGTATGATGGGAATGAGCGACCACATCAGGTCCTGCCGCATGATCCCCATGGTAACCACACAGCCAATCACGGCACTGATATCAGTATGAGCTGACTAATCACAGGACA